GGGTTAACCTATTCCACAGAGCACCTGAAGGCAGGACAAGAATCAGTGGATGGAAGTTAATCAAAGAGAGGTCCAACCTAGAACTAAGGAGAAATTTACTGACCATTAGAACAATTAATCAGTGGAATGATTTGCTTCCAGAAATTGTGGGTGCTTCAACACTGGAAGTTTTTATGGAGAGATTGGATGACCATTTGTCTGAAATGGTATAGGATTTCCTGCCTGAGCAGAGGTTGGACTAGAAGAATTCCAAGGTCCCTTCTGTTATACTGTTAACCCAATCTCTAAGTTAAGTCACATTTAACTTACGTTAATACGACGCTTTTCCTTTTCAAAAGAAGCATGGATGTTGTTGACGGTAGAACTTAATTTACAGTTTACAGCCCTCTCCCTTCATACTGTATTCTAAATGAAATATTCTATACCCCCATTAAATACCCTATCTTACCACAAAAAAGGAAGAAATAATATTAATATTAACATAATTACAGTGTACCACACATCTTACTCTGATAGAATTCTGGACCTGCTCACGTCTTGGTTTTTCTGGAGATCTGCATAGGCTAATTGCAATCAAAACACCATCCTTACATGGGCGTGTGAATACATGTACGATGCACCTGATTCAAAATCCCAGGTGAAAGAATATAATTCTTAAAATGAACTGACTGATTTGGCATGCTGGAAAAAAAGGAGAGTTGAAGTCAAACTCCACTGTTAATCAGACAAAACTAAAGTCAGGCAAAGAGTAAAGAGATGTCCCATTAAGCAGAGAAGAAGATCACAGCAAGAAGACTTCCTCCACAAGAAATCTGTTCAAGAAGAATCAGAATAATCTCTGGCCATTGTGAACAAGGTGTAACCTCTATTGTTCAGTGGATTTAATTGTGTTTTATTAGGCAAGCATTCCTTTTTATAGCAGATCTTCATGTTAAATGTTCAAAATGAGGAACATAAAAGCTATAAATACTTGGGATATCTTAAGGGCACTAAAACACAGCTTACTGTATAAACTGTATTTGGCCAACTTAAAGAAACCCAGGAACAGTGGTGGGATTCAGCCAGTTTGCACCACTTTGGGAGAACCGGTTGTTAACTTTCTGAACTGTTTGGCAAACTGATTGTTGGAAGAAATCATTAGGGCAGAGAACCGGCTGTTAAATTATTTGAATCCCACCACTGTCCAGGAAGCTATACTGTGGTTTGTGTGAACCCAAATCCAATTGCATAACTAACTTTCATCTAAACAAGCTGCAACATGTTTATTTTTATTTTATTTTATTTTATTTTAAAATTATATACCGCCCTTCTCCCTGAGGACTCAGGGCGGTGTAAAGCCAGAATTAAAAAACATGAAATACAAATATTAAAAACAATTAATATATATATAAATTTGGCCCAAAATTAAAAATACAAACCAATTAAAACATTTAAAATTTCTTCTTAAGCCAGCCCGGCTTGCTGGAAAAAGTGGGTTTTAAGGGCACGGCGGAAGGCGCTAAGGTCTTGGATTCTCCTTATCTCTGGGAGCAACTGATTTCAGAGGGTAGGTGCCCCCACAGAGAAGGCCCTCCTCCTGGGGGTCACCAGCCTGCATTGATTGGCTGATGGCACCCTGAGGAGGCCCTCTCTGTGGGAGCGCACGGGATGATGAGAGGTCGTTGGTAGCAGCAGGCGGTCTCGAAGATAGCTAGGCCCGATGCCATGTTATGCTGGGTTCTTTAACTCATCACCCTACTTCCTAAAACAGATGTGCGGTATACATATTCAACTTCCCTACCTATCTGTGCCTTCTGATTAGACTTCATGAAGGCAGCTTTTCTTTCTATTTCAGCTTTACTACTCCACTCGATATTTATCCTGAATCTTGTCTAAGGAAAATCTAAATTGGTGTCATTCCCACGGTACAGTAATCCCCATGGGGCTGTGGTTGTAGAGGAAGCAGCCAATGGAGGCACAGTCAGTAAAATCAGGAAGAGAGAAACCTTATGCTTCTGTTGCAGACAATGAGGTTTCTGTATTAATTGGGTTTGTGTCTTTCTTGAAGGAAGAGACACAACTGAACAAAGGTTCTCCATGAATGGCTAGCTCACACTTTATTTAAGGCTCTGCTTCCTTCCTTTCCCTTTAATCTAGGAGTTTTTAGTGTTGAAGGTATACATCCAATGATGCAGATTCCTGACCATGAGGGGGCAGGAGGGTATATAGTAATAATAATTAATTGTTCTGATCCATAAGAACAATGATGTGCAGAAAAAAATGGTGAACAATATTAATGAGCAGAAATTAAAATTAAAACCACATAAAAGTGAGGATCATGCTGGAGATTGACTGAACGATCCTACAGAGCCTGGAATCATTAAATCCTGGTGTAAAATAATAATAATTATTAAAAAATAAAAAAAGCAATAAGGAAATAATAAGGAAGTTCTGGATCAATGTAAAATGAAATAACGATATTGTATGCACAATGAAGTAACGTATACTTGAAACCTCTCAATCTGCCAGACATCCTCCCTCCCTCCCTCCCTCCCTCCCTCCCTCTCTGTCTCTCTTCTATATAGCCTTCCTCAAAGCCTTGTTCTGAGTCCTGTTTTTGTCTTTCCATGTTATTGCTTTCTGTTTTTGATATATCAAATGATTTGCCAGTTGGATCAGCTTGTCCCCATACCTGGCATTGTCATTCTCATTTTCCAAAAAATTGAAACTGGAGCCACTTTTGCTGGTTATTAGTTGCGCTTGCCCAGATGTGTGGTTCTGTTTGTTTTGGAAAGATCCTTAATAGAAGTTTTCCTCACAAGTGGTAACAGGTTTTGCCTTCCTATATAAGATCACATTAACTGCATGCTTTCCAAAGTAGAAACACAGGATAAGAATAGGAGCAAGCTTTTAAAATCAGATTTAATCAAATATGGCTTCATATCAAACTGCCGCACTGCCGTACTCCATCTACCATTTTTGCCAAAATAGTTTGGCTTGATCACATAAAAAAAAAAAAAGCGTGGCTCCCAATTTTTGGTTCCTGGAAATTAGAATAGAATAGAATAGAATTCTTTATTGGCCAAGTGTGATTTGGACACACAAGGAATTTGTCTTGTTGCATATGCTATCAGTGTACATAAAAGAAAAGATACGTTCATCAAGAATCATAAGGTACAACACTTAATTATAGTCATAGGGTACAAATAAGCAATCAGGAAACAATATCAGTATAAATTGTAAGGATACAAGGAACAAAATTACAGTTATACAGTCATAAGTGGAAGGAGATAGGTTGTGGGAACGATGAGAAGATTAACAGTAGTGCAGATTTAGTAAATAGTTTGATAGTGTTGAGGGAATTATTTGTTTAGCAGAGTGATGGCATTCAGGAAAAAACTGTTCTTGTGTTTAGTTGTTCTGGTGAATGAAGAAGATGAGGTGGCTGCAAGGTTGCTATAGACAGTGGCCTTATTTGCATACTAGTATGGCTACCTAATAAATGGAGAATGAAACATGTTTTTTTAAATTACTTTATAGCAGGAGTGTCAAACTCAAGGTTCGTGGGCCAGATCAGGCCCACGGGGTACTTAGATCTGGCGTGCAGGGCCGCTCTGGAAACAGTGAAGGACCAGCCCATGGTGCCTCTGCCAGCCAAAACGGGTCCTGAGCTCCATTTTTGCTGGCAGAGGGTTGCAGGAGGTGGTCACAGCTGAAAACGGAGCTCAGGAGGTTGTTTTGACTGGCAGGGTGCTCAGGCCACCACAGTCACACCACGCCCAATACGAGTGACATCGATCTGGCCATACCCACCTCAGCCATGCCCACCCCGGCCCCCCGAGGTCAAACACAACCCTGATGCAGCCCTCAGTGAAATTGAGTTTGACACCCCTGCTTTATAGCCTTGTCTTTCCTTTTTTAACGGTATGTGAGAATGATTTTGGGAGACAGGGGGAACAGGTGAAGCCAAGACAAAGATGGGATAAACCAAATTTGAGTCTGAACAGGGAGGGGTGGCAAAAAGCAACTCAGAAGGGACCCTCCCTAATTTTCAGGAGAGTGAAAGTGAGGGACTGGAGAGGTACTTTCAGACTTGCAAGATTCTGTTAATGAAATCTTACAAGAAAGATAAAGTTAGTACTCCTGTCTCCTTGTCTGGATCTCCCCATAGGTCTGATGGAAACAGAATGGCTCATGTAGTTAGGACACTGGGTTGACAATTTAGCAAGCCCATGTTTGAGACCAAGTGAGGCTGAAGGACAGTGCGCTCTCCAACCTAGCAGTTCAAAAGCAGTTCAAAAGTGAGCAATTGCAAGTAGATAGATAGGCATCCTTTGGTGGACACATTAATGGGACTGTGAAAGGGGCTCTCAATTGGGTGTCCCTCGGGCAACGGTGATGTCACTGGTTAATTCTTTCAATCCGGAAGCACCTTGGTGCTTCTGACACAATTGCATGGATGCCTAAGACTGACATCAATCTTGCAAGTCTGAAGATACCCCTCCCATTCCTCACTTTGGTTCTTCCATAACCTGTATCCATAAGCAGCTTGAAAGCAGGTGATTCAGTTTTCAGCTCACCCAGTTCATTGATGAATGAATGAAGACACAGTTTAGCATCAATTTTGATTTATGGGAACATGGGAAGCAAAACTGTAGTTTTGATAGGATGGTGTTTTTAAACAACCAAGATTTCAAGCTAATCATGACTTTTGCTAGTTCAAATGTAATGACAAATAATCCTGATTCTTTAAAAAGTGCTTAGGAGTTCTAATTTTCAAATATGAGAAGAGGTAGATGCTTAAGCTTCAGATATATTTATTTGGCCCACTTTCACCTTAGTGTGAATGTAGACAATGAAAAGGGAAGGGCTAAGCCATAAAAATGTACCATCAGTGTAGTTTGTTCATGCAGCAGTTATAGATTAGCTGGTATTTGTCATTTTTCCATTATTCTCTCTTGTACAAAGGAAAAAAACAAATGTCAGTACAAACTATTGATCTCATTTCTTTACTGTTGCAGGTACTATTAGCTCCACCATGAAAGACTTTGTTGAGGCTAATGGCAATTTTGCTGTAGAACTTTTCAAATTGCAACTGCAGGACAACTCTGGGAAAAATGTCATTTCATTCTCAATCGGCGCAGAAATGGCATTAGCCTTGATCTTGCTTGGCAGTGACAAAGAGACTGCTGATGAAATAAGAAAGGTAAGTGTCCTCAAGTACTTGTGTTCCTTAAAATAGTTATTTTAAGTCTTATTAAATTATTAACTATAGGTCACACATATAATCACATCTATGTTATTGCTAGAAAATGTTTCTTCCTGGTATCTGTCATATGAATATCTGCATGGAACCATGGGGAAATCTCTCCTGATTAGCAGCCTTTCTTCCCAACTGGACTTTCCAAAATTCCTTGGAAAGGAACCTTTTTGGATCTTCAGTGAGGAAATGATATAAGAAATGTAAAGAAATCTGTGCATTTTTGCAATAAGCATGTCACCATGCACAAAGGAAATATTTACTTATGTACCTCCTTATTCAATCTTCATTCTTGCTGACAGCCACATTCCAACAAAACTCCTGATGGGTTAGAATATTCACTCCAAAACTAGTAAAATTAATATATAACTAACACACACAGAGTCACACATGCACAAATGCCCAAAACTTCTTGGCATCCAGTAATGACAATGGCTTATTAATTTAAGGTCCCATCGAAAACTCCTGTCTTTTCTATCTTCCTGAGTTTTAAAGCTTTGTATAGTGACGGTATTTGTATAAAGCAGGGGAGAGGATGAGTGGCTAAAATATTTCTGCCCTCCAGCTCAGGAAAAATGACACAGAGCAATGGTTTTCAAACACCTTTTTGGAAAATTATCATAACCCTAACAAGTAGACAAGGTGATGCAAGAAGCTCAGGAGATAAGATGATCAGGAACAAGAAGAGTCGGTGATGTCCAAATATGGCTCTGTATTTGTGCCTTGGTATGCTCAACCCCAATGAAGCTACTGGGACAGGAAGATCTATTAATTTATGATTCATTTAGAAATATTCCAAGATAAAGAGGATTCTCTTAGAGAGAGAACCTAAAACATAGACTTACATTTCTTTTTATAGTTTGCACAATAAAGACATTTCAAAGTAAAAGTTGATTGGGTTAAGAAAAATAATCTCTCCAGTTACATCATGAAAAATTAGACATTCAATAATATGTAAGTGTAAGAACGGAGAAGAGTGTTGTATTCTGAGTAAAAGTAAAAGAAAGATTTCCAAGGGAAAAACATCAGACGAGATATTGATGAGATACATTCACATGGCTTTCCCAGCTCTGGACTCATAGACTTGTATCAAATATTTGGCCAGTCCTAGTTTCTAAAAGAAATGCTTTTTACATTCTTCTAGGACAGGGGTGTCAAACTCAAGGCCCGGGGGCTGGATCCGGCCTGCAGAGTGCTTAGATCTGGCCCACGGGGCCACCCTGGAAACAGCGAATGACCGGCCTGTGGCAAAAATAGAGCTTGGGAGGGCCGTTGTGAGCTCCGTTTTTGCTGGCAGAGGGTTGCAGGAGGCCATTGCAGCCGAAAATGGAGCTTGGAAGCCCATTTTTGCTGGCAGAGTGCTCAGGCCACCACAGGTACCCCCAACATGAGTGATGTCACACTGGCCATGCCTCCCCTGGCCCCCTCTTACCCCCCAAATCAAACACAACCCTGATGTGGCCCTCAATGAAATCAAGTTTGGCATCCCTGTTCTAGAAGGTTAAGGTTTATGGCAAATTGTAAGCAATACATTTAAAAGAAGGAAAATAAGGCAAATTAAAATACAAGAAAACCCATGTTAGCTAGCTGGTGCAATAATATTATTTACAAAACCTATATTTTAAGTATTACAAAGTCCATATTGCATGGCCCTCAGCAGCAAACTGCAATCAGACTTTAGCATGTTGCGAGTTATCCCCTGAATTCTCTAAATTTTCCTGCTGCCCTCAGTGACAACTGAAGAAGCGATCCCACTAGCAGTCTTGAGCATTAAGTCAGGTGAATGTATTTCTCTAGGATCCTTAGAGGGCAACACCTTGTCCCTCACTTCAAGCAGAAAGAAATTCCTGGATACTACTTACTACATTCATGTTGAAAGCACAAGGTTCTTCCCTATTGGAAGGATTAGCTAATGACATCACCATTGGCCAGTGGATGCCTGAGGGGACTTCTTTCATGTCCCCCAGGTATTTTCCCACCAAAGTAGTGCCTATTTATCTACTTGCATTTGCATGCTTTCAAACTGCTAGGCAGGCAGGAGCTGGGTCAAATTGATGAGGGAACTCATTCCATTATGCGGCTCCCGGGTTTAGAACTTCTGAGCTGTCATCCTTTCAATGGCCTTCTGATTCGGTCTCTTAACCACATGAGCCACCGCAGCCCCTATTGGATGGCATATAATTAAAGATGAACAATGACAAACAAGTTTTCTTGGTTAAGAGCTAGCCCACTTTTATGTCAGGTGCTGAAAGATACATTTGCCATTTTGAGATGATACTTGAGCGTCCAAGTGGCCTGGCCATGTCTTCATGTAATTTAACAGGACACAACTATTTTTCAGTATTTTCTGCAGGAACAGCATTCATTAGAGGATATGTAAGACTAGCAGGAAAATGAGGACTTTCCAAAATGGACATATCCCCACTTCCTGCAGTTTTGTTTGTCATATTGCAATAATAATAATAATACTAAAAATACAAACCCCACTATGTTTTAAATAACTTTAAAAAAATAACACACTCATTAGTTTTTTTCATTTCTGGCATCTGTAAAGCCCCAAGCAGAAGAAAGCTTGATTGTGACAGGTTAATTAATCAGGTGTATTGCGAGGGAAAATATGAGTTAGGTTACATAATGTTGGTAGCTTTGAGGGCAAGGCAGACGTGGTGTTATCTGTTTATAGCCATGAAAGGAATGTCCCATCTCTTCATATTCTTCAATATTTTGGAAACATCCGTCCTCTTTTCCAAGCTCTGAGAATTCCATTGTATCACCCATTATCATTGGCCAGGTTGTTGGGGTGGGGCACACGCACACACACACTCATCCACACTTGCCCATGTCCTAGGCTGGCAGACACTAAGCAGAGAGATGGGAGTCGCTAAGTCCGGATTCAAAGATGACTCCCAGAGTAGGCAGGCTTTGGGACCCCTTTTATCCCCAAAAGTCATTGCTCTGTTGATTTAAAAGTCTGGTAGCTGTTCAGAGGATTTGTGAAGGGGTTTCTTCTCCGCTCAAGTTCAACTTCTTTTGTCTGGTTCAGGTGACATTTTTTCCTTTGTTTCTTTAACAACTTTGTTCCATGTTTCCTTGCTTGCTTCATCTTGAGGTACGTCAGCTTTAGCCTGATCTTATACCCAACAAAGACAAATTGGGACAAAACTTATATATTTTGTTTTGCAGGCTCTTCACTTCTGGAGATGGCCAGAAACTGTGACCCCTACAGATGGGCCTGTAAGAAAATTCTCATTTTACTTGAATTTCATTTTACTAACTCTACTAAATGAACTATTTGGTATAAAGTGTTCTAAGCACTTGAAAAATAGAAAATAATTTCTTTCTTAATAAAGAAATATTAAATATCGGCAATCAGAATTGTATATCCTAACCGAAATCTGTTATGATGTTTAAGTGATTGGGCCCAACCTGTATTGTCCACAAAGTAATGGATAAGAATAATGGCTCACTTCCTAGACTCTCATCTTAAAGGAGAATATCTCAAGGATCAGGACAATGACCCCTAAGAGGACTTCTGCTGTAAAAATAAAACATATATTCACATCTTGAAACCGTTTAGCTAAGAATTGTCATATATGTGTTGTTATGAGCCATGGTGCAGCAGTGAGTTAGAATGCAGTACTGCAGGCACTGCTGATTGTCAGCAGTTTGGCAGTTTGAATCTCACCAGGCTCAAGATTGACTCAGCTTTCCATCCTTCCGAGGTCAGTAAAATAATGACCCAACTTGTTGGGGGCAATATGCTGAGTCTGTAAACCACGTAGAGAGGCTCTGTGAAATGGTATATAAGTCTAAGTGCTATTGCTATTATGAGTTACTCTGTTATGAGTTATGGGAAATGTAAATATTTAGAATAGAATAGAATAGAATAGAATAGAATAGAATAGAATAGAATAGAATAGAATAGAATAGAATAGAATAGAATAGAATTCTTTATTGGCCAAGTGTGATTGGACACACAAGGAATTTGTCTTTGGTGCATATGCTCTCAGTGTACATAAAAGAAAGAAAAAAGAAAAAAATATACATTCATCAAGAATCATAAGATACAACACTTAGTGATAGTCATAGGTTACTAATAAGCAATCAAATCATACTAGGAAACAAACAGAATAATATAAATCGTAAAAATACAAGCAACATGGTTATAGTCATAAGTGGGAGGAGGTAGGTAATAGGAAGGATGAGAAGAATAATAGTAATACAGTCTTTGGAGGATATTTTGGAGCAGTGGTCACCAACTGGTGGTCTTTGTCCACAAGAAAATTTTGGTAGTCGGCAGAAAAATTCAGGGTCTTCTTGTGTGGGTCAGAGTCGGGAAGAAATTCTGACTTGGGGTCTGCTTCAGCCTCCTGGTGCGGGGCTTTGGGAAAGGCTGGAGGGAAGTGCTGCTGGTGGCAAAGAGCTTTGTTCCAGTGGGAATGCATCATGGATGGAACTGGCTGACCATCTCAGCTCACTGAGCCTCCAGACGCCAATACTTGGCTTTGCACTCCTGCAGGTCTTCCCTCTGCTTGGAAAGCCTATGCTCATAGTTCTCAGTGAGGTGCTTCTGCTGAGCCTCCTTCTCAGTCAGATCCAATTTGAACTGAGCTGTTTTGTTAATTCTTTCTCGTGGTGGCTGCTTAGCTTCAACAACTGCTTCCTGTTGGGGCCCTAAGGAGCCTGGGTGGGGAGAGGAGGCTGGGAGGGGAGGGGAGGGGAAGGGTGAGTAGAGGCTGGTGAGGCACCCCTCGATGTGAGTGATGTTGAGTTGACGACGTCCACCCAGCCACATTCCCACCCAGTCACATGACCACCCAGCCATGTCCACCCAGCCGGTCATTAGGCAGATCGTATTAGTGGTCCGTGGGATTTAAAATTATGAATTTAATGGTCCCTGAGGTCCGAAAGGTTGGTGACCCCTGTTTTGGAGGATGTTGGCAAATATGATTTATATGATTGTAAATCTGCTATCCTTTGCTGCTTGAAGCATTCTGGGACTGAGTGTGATATACCTGGAGGATTTCACAGCCAGTTCAAGCGAATCCTAACAATCCTCAACCAGCATTCCAAATATCATATGCTGAAGATAGGTGGCCGGATATATGGATCAAAGGCTGAAGATTTCCTGGAGGTAAGAAAGAACGCTTTTTCTCTCTTCCCTTCTTAATCCAATGTTGATGGATTCTAGTGGTTTACTAGAAATTCTACAGGTATCATGTTTTGTGAAGCAGGAAATTAGGTTAGATCAGGTATAAGACTTCTGGCAAACTGCAATGCACACGTGGGGAAAAGTCTGGGTTAACATATTAGGTTTAATGTATGTGAAAATGTTCCTTCACCTAGGGCCAATAACATGCATTGCTCCATTATTCGAAGCAATTTCAAAATCTAGGACCATGTTCGTTTCCCATGAATATTCATTTCTGCATAACAGCAAACAAAACATTAAACAGTAAAATAGTGGATGATAAGATAAGGTAACTCTTTGGCAAATGCGGTTTGATACACACACACACTTTTCCAGGCAATGATGTCATTCAAACACTAGGAATTTTATTCTTCTAGGACAAAGTTTCTTAACCTGAAAAGCAATTTTCAGATGTGGGGACTATAACTCCCAGAATTCCCCAGCTCCAGAATTATTTTCAACTTTCCAGTCTAGCCTACTAACTGAGCCACAGCAAATTAGGTGCTCCCATCTAGATTGTCCAGTAACCAGTGTCAACTAGATTTATTGATTCAGTGCATGTGATAATAGGTGAATGAATATATTGCTATGTCTTATTTCGTTTGGTGCAGCATTACAAAAAGTGTGTTAAAGAGATATACAATTCGGATTTCGAAAATGTTGATTTTAAGAATGCAGCTGTGGAAGCTAGACAGAAAATGAATTCCTGGGTTGAAAGCGAAACAAATGGTGAGATATCATACGCTGCTCATTGGATTTCCCACACTGAATATCAAGAAGCAGAACGTTTAGTCATTGCGAACTAACGGGAGAGGACAGACAATGGACTTTCTGCTGCAAGAAAAATTAGTGATGTGCAGTGGATTTTTATAGGCTGATGTGCTGTGGAGTGAGATGAAGCATGAGGCCAATTCCTGTATACTTTAACCTGCCGCTTTAAATGCCAAAAAGGTCATTCATGAATTTTAAATATTACAGGTATACATACAAAAAGATTTGTAGAGCAGGGAAGGGACAATGAATATGCCCTACCAAGATGCTGAAGAAGAGAAAATTAACCTATGGTCTGGGGTAGGCCTGAGTGTATTGCCAATCTGCAATATATCAGAGGCTCAGAGTTTCAGGCCTTCAGCTCAATGAACCTTTGCGATCCTCATCCATGACTTTAGATACAGGATTTGCAGAGTTGGGTCCAACCTTCCCTTAGATACAGGGAACCCACAAGATGGCTCCATTATGTCTAAGTTTTTAACACTGTGTTATGTGTATCTCTGGTGTCATTCTTCCTTTAAGTTATTGTGGGTTTTTTTTAACTGTATACTTCCCAGAGTGAGATAGGTGGCTACATAAATATAATGAGTGAATGAAATCAGGTCATTTTAGGCTTACGTTTTCACTCTTTCATTTATCTTGGATTTTGATATTTTGTGTATTTTTTTCTATTCTCGGACTTAAAAATTGTGTTGTAGAAAGAAGTGATTCATTGACAGTATTCCCCCATTTGCAGATATTTTCATTCAATGTCTTTTCCTAAAGGTGCTATCAAGGAATTCTTTCCTCCTCACTCCATTGATCAATCAACTTCCCTGATCTTATTAAATACAACCTCTTTCCAAGGAAGGTGGAAATTTCCATTTAATCCAAGAAATACATACAGAGGAGTCTTTTGGAATTGTCAGGTACAGTATATAAAAAACTAGGGAAAGTCATAATTCTATCAAACAATTAAAAGTAACAGCCTTGTTGACCATGGTGGGAACACAAAATCTATATATTAGGTGGTATCTTGAATTATCAGAGTCTGAGGTGAAAAACTGGTATTACAGTTGGCCTTGGCTTACTATACTCAACATTTCATCTTGAAACTCCTGATATTGTTATTGTTTTACTTTTAAACATTACTTTCTTTCTTATAGGATCAGAGCATTTATGTGGATATGATGACTCAAAGGGGCAGATTTAACACAGCTAATATACCGAGTCCATCAATGCAAGTGGTGCAGCTTCCTTATGTTGATGACATTCTGTATATGTACATTTTTCTGCCAGAAAACCGCCTATCTACAGATGAGGTAATTTGAGTTTTGAATCTGTATTTTAATAATATGCTTGGTAAAAGATCTGAACACACATCCCTAAATTTACATCTACAACTTTTTAAAAATCATAGAATTACAGGAAATTGTGTTTCTAGTCCTAAACAATTCTCAAATCTCAGCTTGGATATATTTTTTTCTCATATTGTTTATCAGTATAATAACTAACTGTAGGATTTTAAATCTGTTGGTATACTGAACATATTCCTTAGTTTGTGTGCAACAATATACTAGCTTGCAATGGTAGTCTAGAAATCAATGTTGCTAGCTATCATAGAGTAGCAGGAATTATTCTAGTGACACACTAGCCAAAATTTGCTGACTAATACTGTCCTGAGGACTTTATCACTGGGGGGGGGGGGAAATAGAAACTCACTATCCAGAATATAGGCTATTATCCAGTATCAGCAAAAATACTTTTTTCAGACAATCTCTCCTTAAAGCCACTGAGAGTTTCCCAGATTCCTGCCTTCTCTCATCATAATTGGGAAGGCAGGTGTTCTTTTGCAGTGGATGGCTGTCTGCATCCACTGGCATTTGTGAGTTGTCACGTATATCTCCTTACATTGAATCTCTACATGGAGGTATTGGGCACCTTTGCACAAATCTATTCTCTCTCCCACTCCCTCCCTCCCTCTCCCTCCCCGCCACTCACTCTCTCTCTCTCTCTCTCTCTCTCTCTCTCTGTGTGTGTGTGTTTGTGTGTGTGTGTGGTCCTTGGTGCTCCCTGAGCTTTGTTATTTTCTTGCAGACATTTCATTACCCAAACTACTTAATATCATCAATGCTAGTACTAAGACTAATGATATTACTTAGTTTGGATAATGAAACTTCTGCAAGAAAACAACTAAGCTCAGAGAGCGCTAAGGACCCCCCATTCAACTCTGAGCTACAAATATTCTCCTTATCTATCTTCTGTGTCGAACAGTCTTCCCCAAGACCACTTGTTCATGTCTGGTCTCATGTTCAGTGATGTACTGAGAACACTACTTTATATACAAGAGATATTTCTATCTCTTCTACAACGACCAGTATATGAAATATTTGGCCATGTTGTTAGGCAATATTTTTCTTTCTCTAGTAGTATCTCTCTTCTCTGTATGTGTGTGTACTATTGAGAGTCAATTTTTATTAGTGTGGTTCTCTTACTCCAACTGCTACCTACTCTTAAGCCATTCTAAGAACAATGGCTACCATATATGAAAATATGATACCTGCTAGCACTAGGAGGCTCTCGACTCTGTGCTGAACTGTGGCCTGGCATTTGGGAAAAGCTGCATTTTGACGGCTGAACCTGCACCTTCTGCCCTTAATTCCTGTATATTGAATTAATATGATTTAGGAAAGACATTGCTCTATTGGGTGACATGAATGGATAAGGGGTAAAAAAAAGTAAAACCTAGATAGGAAAAAAAAACATACAGCATATTAATAAATTGTATGTATGACCAGCATTTTTATTTCACTATTCCTCTAGGAACAAAAAACAGCATGCATGCAGTAATTTTCTCTCTCCCTCAGCATTCTCACAATCTCTGTTAGGTTGACTGGGTTGAGAGAAGAGTCAAACAGTGAAATCTTTTGAATCTTGGCAATGCTAGTTTTTGCCCTTGATCTCTACAAAGATTATATCCCTCCCTTTCCTGGGATTCCTGATTTTAATCTGTGGCTGGAGGGAATTGGGAATTGGTGGAAACCCCAGCCGTCACTTCTCTTCAAATTCTGCCTTTTGTTTTAAAAGGGCTCACTTTTTCTCCCTTCAGCAAGGAGTCTAGATCAGGGGTCTCCAACCTTGGCAACCTTAAGACTTGTGGACTTGTGGAGTTGAAGTCCACAAGTCTTAAAGTTGCCAAGGTTGGGGACCTCTGGTCTAGATTATTTCCCTTCATTTACATGTCAGAGAAATCTCCCTTACCGCGAATGCATAAACTGTAAATGCCTGGCAGCCTATGAGATTGAGAATATCCGGTTTAAGCAGACATATTCACAACCCTGAAGCAAGATACATTCTTCCTAGATGCACTGCTCAGCAGCTTGAAAAGAAGTAGCATTTCAGCAGATAAATTTATCAGATTATGTCAAAACGAAAATGTGGTTATTGTGAAGATGTTTGGCATTTTGGAAAACCATTTGTCTGTTTTGTTCTTTTTTCCCCTCCAATATTTTGTTTTCACTCTTGGATTGGTTTCTATTTTACTTGACAGATTATAATGAATTTCACTTTCGAACAATTGCAAAGATGGACCGATCCCGCAAATATGAGAAACGCAGACCTTAACATTTCTTTTCCAAAGTTCAGAGCGAAAATGAACCATTCAATGAATTCTGCATTTTCAAAAATGGGGGTGAAAGATCTGTTTACTCCAGGCAAAGCCGATTTATCTGGCATGACTGGGAATACTCAGTCGATGGTGTCTCAGATTAGTCAATCAATTAGCTTTGCTGTCAACGAAGATGGTGTAGAGGCAGCTGGAGCCTCTCGTACAGAGGTAGTAGATGGGGCTTTCAGTGAACTTAAAGTGAATAAGGAATTCATTTTTATGGTGAAACATACGGCAACTGGCTTCATCATGTTTTTGGGCAGGATTTGTATGCCAAAGTGGGAGGAGCTGCCATAATAACAAATGTCTTCCCAGGTGTTGTAAACAGTGGAGCCTTCTATATTCTTAATTCTATTTCAACTTGGCCAATATCTTGTCTAAATTTATAAGCCCAAAATTGATTTCCTATTTGCCTATCTGGGTAAAAAAAAAAAGGCTTTTACTTTGTGAGTTTATTTGCAATTCCTCTCCAGTGCAAAAGTGATGTATCCATAATAAACTTTTCTTATACTGTGCATTAAACTCCTTTTCAACAGCAAAACGTGCATATTTGGGATTTCATACATGGAATACGGAACAATTGGGGAGAATCCTCCTTAGAGAATAAACCTAAAGTAAAAGAATGTCCTCAATCATCCAGGTCAAGTCCAGTTGCCTTTTAGAAAAAAACACCTTTGGGACTAAAGGGGGTAGTTGTAGGGCAAAGGAGGACAAATACAACTACCGTATTTTTCAGAGTATAAGACACACCTTAGTTTTTGGGGAGGAAAATAAGAAAAAAGCTGATTGGTGGGTGGATCAGCCTCCCGAAATACCCCCAATCAGCTGTTCCAGAGGTGAATTTTAGCAACAGGTTCCTTGGTTGTGAGCTCTGTGCCTTGCTTTTTTTTTTTTTGCTTTTTTTCCTGCCTCTGAAACTTCTGAAACTCCCTTTCAGAAAAAAAAACTTTTTTTTCCTGCCTCTGAAAGCCTCCGAAACAGAGCTTCAGAAAAAAAGCCTCTGAAGCTCTGTTTGGGGGCTTCTTTTCTGAAGCTTCTTTTCTGATGCTTTTTTCAGCCTCTGAAACCTCTGAAAAGCTGGGCGGGGCTACATTCGGAGTGTAAAACACACCCAGGTTTTCACCCTTTTTTTGATTTATTCAAATCTTGGTTTGGAAGAGGTCTAAAGCTGGGAATTGCAAATTGTAACTGATGCAAATGGAACGTACATGATTCTGTAAATTTGTCTGATGATGTTAATAACGTAGCCTAATATGTAATAGGTTTTCTGATCAATAGCCAAGATGATTTATTTTGGCTGGGCTGCAGTTCATTCAGTTCATTCTGTGTGGTTGGTTCTTCCTTTAAAATAGCTGACCTTCTGGGATTGTGGAAGTAGCTTCTTTTTGCTGGTCAAGAAATCCTGCCCGTTAGAAGCTTTCAATGTCTTATGGTCTCTTTTCTCTCCTTGAGAGATTCAAATGTGGTGGCATATCTCTGTGCACCACTCTTAATTTTTAATCTGGGGAATAATCTGAGGCATCAGGAAATAGATATAAATAGAGATAGATATATGATAGATAGATAAATAGACAGACAGAGGAAAGCAGTGAATCAATCTAAGTGATCTATATATTCTATATATCTATATCTACATATTTCCCTGAGACAATCAGTCCTATAAGGCAGACCAAATTAGGAAACAACAATAGAATTTGAAACAATAGAGTTTTAGTAGTCCTTGTGATGACTATTTCCTAACCTGGCCTACTTCAAACGGCTGATTTCTCCAGATTTCACTGCATATGGAGGCAGAGTTGGAGGCAATTTTCATGTGTAAAAGGAGGCCAGAGAAAAGAACGTGTCAGGCGTGATTTAGCAGAAGAACTTTCAGCACAGTTGAAAGAAGGAGGGCTAGGTTCAATTTTCTCTCTTGAGAAATAGCTTCCTGCTGAAATCAGACCATGGGCTCTGCTGAAATATTTCTCTGTGTTTTTTTTTTAAAAGTTTTGCAAAGCTTCTAAATGTCAGAATGGAATTCTTATTCATTTCCCCAAGTGGTAGGTGTCTTAACAGCGACAGTACATGTCAAAGTCCCTGCAGACTGATTGAATGGACCAGCCACATAGTGAGTGGGTTTGAAGAGATGAAAGCTAAGGTTCTGCCAGGAAGTTTCTGAATCAGCAAAAAGCAACTCTTATGAAACTCTGTCTATTAACGCTACTGTTAAAAAAAAAAGCCTAATAAAGCTCTATCATGCAAGTACTTTACAGTGTCAGTTTGAATTTATGGTTTCCTTGAAAAATTAGTAGCATTTCACTGTATGGATTAAGCCAGGCCTCTCCAAACTTGACAACTTCCTTGAATTCTGGGAATTGAAGTCCACAAGTCTTAAAGTTGCCAAATATGGCAACTAAACTCTGGACTAAGCTATTCAACTCACTGCATAAGACAAACAGATGAAAAAGGCTCAGCAGATCCAAACAAGCAGGATACGAAGTCTATATAGTAGAATACAGGTTTCATATCTGCTAGTTTCCTAGTGACAATAGAATACATATTTTCCTTGTGAAAATCTGGCTCATATCACATATTAGAAGCAAAAGTTTAATCGAAATGATATTGAAGGATTTTACCCAGAGCTTCAAAATTAAAAGTACACACATATCAAATTAA